AGCGTAATAAAGAATGCATTTTTATAAATAATTACCCTCCCAAGCCAATAACATCTCTAAATGATAGGATGAAAACATCAAATGGTACTTGATAGCATTTGTGAAGGCTGGGAACATTCTAGCTAGACTGGTTTTGCTATATTATACTAGGTTGTTCCACAGAAGTTCAAAATGGTGGCACGAATTTAAGCTGAAAATTCCTTAATTCAAAATTTTATTGAGTGGACCTTTTCTAAAGATAGAGTGAGCTGCAATTTAAGATTTGGGAAGCATGCATATGAACACAGAAACACAGGACTGCGATCCAGAAGACCGGGATTAAAGTTTGGATCTGTCACTTGGTAGCTGACTTGAGCCAAGTTTCCTAACCTCCACGTCCCAATTTCCTCAGCTGTAAAATGAAAGTGGAGTCAACTTCATAATAGAAATTATAACACAAAAATCGTTGTGGAAAATAGCTGTACAAAAAGCATTACCATTTTTACATTATTTTCCAATTTTAACAGTAACTTTTATTTCCATATTTTGAGGATCTTCTATACTAACAGCACAGTATTCAGAAAAAGAAAAATAAACTGTCTTCATGCCATGACTTTTTTTAAATCCCAGAAAGACTACTTTGCTGGACATAGTTTAATGGAACAACTTAGTTTCTTTTGGGAAATCCCACTACAGTCTTCAAGTGCCATTTTTATCATCTGACTTCAAATTCCCCAAAGCAGGTGGAGACTACAATATTACTAAAAATCTGTTCAGGAGGGGCACCTGGGTGGCTCAGTGGGTTAAGCCTCTGCCTTTGGCTCAGGTCATGATCTCAGGGTCCTGGAATCGAGCCCCACATCCAGGCTCTCTGCTCGGCAGGGAGCCTGCTTCCCCCTTCTCTCCACCTGCTTCTCTGCCTACTTGTGATGTCTCTCTCTCTGTCAAATAAATAAATAAAATCTTAAAAAAGAAAAAAATCTTTTAAGGAACAGTTAACATACTCAAAAGTTAACCAGTATTAGTACACCACTGACTATTTTTTATTAATCCCTAGACGAGATAGAATATCTAGAAAAAGAGAGTTAAATTTATAGCTCTCGATTTGAGGACCATGGGACAAGACAGTAGACAAGTACAATTTTTCCTGAAGTCAGACAGACGAGGGGTGGTCTGTTCAACCAAAAAGACTCTCTTCCATCCTTTGCACAATTTCTAAGGTTAGAACCAAAGGACGGAACTTCACAGCACTTGCAGAATCTCCTGGCCTCCAAAGCAGTGCTGTGAGGAATAATGATCTAGCCATTAACGACAAAGACTTACGGCAATTTGCTAAGTAATCTTTGGAAAGCCTGCTTCATTCAAACTGGTTTGTCAATGGGAAAGAACATGTCATAAATCTGAAGATTTACACGTGAACTTTGAAGTTTAACATTACAAGAATAGAAATTATGTCAGGTTATAACAGAACAAACGAATTATGGAGAGTTGGGAATAAATTTTAAGAGTCTTAGGGAAGATTAGTGCTGTAAAAAGAAACTCAAGACTATCTCACTTTTACGTTCCCTTCAAAGACATTTTTAGGCAAAGGCTATCATGTGTTGGCTTATTTTGAGCAGTTACTAATATTAGCAAATAACCTGTAGTGGTCACTAATAAAAATCATAATTAAGAGTTCTGAAAGAGCCCTGACTCTGTAGCCATTCGTAAGATTCTTAGATGTACATAACTGATGCAGCACAAATTATTTTGCCAATAATTTGCCCCTTCGGCAATGAAATGCAAGTTAGTATTGAAGGTGACACTTTTCTTTGATCTAAATCCTAAAACAGGATAATTATTTTGATAGCAAATTATGATATCCAGACACTGCCAAGAAAATGAAAATAATACCAGGACAGACTATAAGAGATGAAACAGTTGGGAAGACCATAAATCCTTTTATGAGAGTCTACAGCAGAGCAAGAAACTAAGAGGAAAAATAAATTACATTTCAAAAGTGAATCCCTACTACAAAAAGGAAACACACTATATTTACATTGATAAAACCTGTCGGAGCTTTAAAATTGCTGACATACCACTGAGAAAAGCTAAGCTGAACTGCAGAGTACCCCGAAGCACGTTGTTTTGATGTGCTATGCAGGTTATCATTAGAGTTTGCAGACAAGCTTTTTAAAGACGTTATAGCCACTGCTCCAACTAAAATATAGGCATTGAGCGGAACACCAGGAGAAAAGGAGACTCCTGCTCAATTTTGCAAACTGATGATACCATTGACGGAACAGGAAGGAATGTGGGAAAGGCAGGTCAATTTTAACTTAAACAGTTCAACTTTGAGCTTCAAAGAGGATGGCTTGATGGAATTAGTCAACCAGTCCATGGAAGTGAAACAGCACATGGGTCAGGGTTGGACTCATATTCCATGTTGCTTGCCAGCCAGATATTGAAATGTGTATGTATACATTCTGTTTACTGAGTACTGCTGAACAACTGTGCAGGATATAGTGAGGCACTGCAATGGATACAAAGATGGGGAAAACAAAAGCAGTTCCTATTCTCAAGAGGCTTACAGTCCAGTAGAATGCATGAAAAGAAACACATCCTGCCTGAAAATACAATTGAGGCCTCTAACAGAGGTTCAAAGTAACGGGAAGTTGCATCCCTATTTTCTTTCAACACAACATTGAGAGATATGATACTATTCTAAAACTGGACACACTCCTGAAAGGGACATTAAAATGCCAGCAGACTGGTAACGTTTCACAAATGAATAATGATGCCAAAATCTCAAATTAAAAACAAACAAAAAAACGATGACCAGCTCTTTGGCACAAAACCTGCTCCTCGATGCTCCACCAAACACTACAAGTCCCTAAAGCCGAACTTAAAGGCATATGACAGCTGCTGATTGGTTATAGAAATCTACAGGAAAAAAAAAAAATGCACCCCTCAGGGTGCATGACATGCATCTTGTCTGTAGAACGTGGCATGAAGGAAACAGTGACTGCAAGAGGAGGAAAAAGCGAAGAAAATGTATGTGACAGCATTCTGAAAAGTAAGACGTGGAGCTAGTCAAATGCAAGACCTATGATTAAACCAGAGTTTGGGTCCAGCATCCATCCCTCCCAAATTTAACTGTTTCCACAATTAATAAGCCATCCACAAACTATCAATAATTTCCTGTCTTAAAGGGATTTCACCACCAAGGGAGGATGTAAAGTAACCCAGTTCTTAAAAGAAAGGTCATATGAAAACACCTTTTTGGTGAAAATAATAATGTAAGCAAATATGAGATAAAGAGCCCCCTCCCCCAAAACTCCCTAACCAGTTGAAAGGTATTGTGTAATCCCACACCTTTAACTGTTAATATGAAAACACTGGTCTATCGACCTCTCCTCCATATCACCACCACATACAATTTTCTTGGCTATTCCAACTGAATAGGAAGGTTTAACTAACTAAACCAATCAGCCTGACTGTGATCCCAGTAGGCAGAAAGGGAAAAAAACAAACAAAAAACAAAAAACAAAAAAACCCCAGTAAGCAAACACCCCCAAAAAAGAACTGGACAAATAGGTTGGATACTTGATAAAATATAGATGTCCTCCATTCATCTGCAATTCTAGTCATTTTCTAACAGATCTCAGATTTTCAGAACAAGTATGCAGGTTATTTAAAACTGAGTTATATATAGTCATTTAGCAGCAGCAAAACACTTCTGGCATTATCGCAGATGCTAGATCTCTGGAGGAATTTTTTTTCCCCCCAAACTAGCATTTTTCTTCACCAAGAACCAACCAGCCTTTATTTCTAAAAACAAGAACCCTTGTCTTCCCCAAAACAAACAAATCAAAGACCACAGTTAAATTCTACGCTAATGAAACTGTGAGATTACATCCCAGGCGTTGTCAGAGCCTATTTTTCATACACCAACACCAGACAGTTTGATGCAGTATTCCTGATTGCTTTTTATCGTATTTGTAAATACACTCTCTAATTCACTAAATTAGGTAATTTACAAACAGGTCCTCTCAGTTATTAGTGGCCAGCAGTCAAGTTCTATTACATTTGATCCTTATACAGTTGTCTAAACATTTCCATCCAGGTTAAGGGCTCGGATCGGCAAGGGAGAGGGAGGTGAGCGAAATTTGGATGGGGGCAGGGTAGAAGCTGGGAGAAATCTCTGCATCTCAGCCCTCAGCGACAACATTCAGCCAGTGCCCACAGAAAAACTAAATTCGGCACCTCTTCCTCCTGTTACACTGGCAACAAAGAGGGAGTTTCCGTAACGCTCCCGTCACCCACAAGGTGCCCAATCTCCTTCCCAGCCTAGTGCCAGCGCTCCCGCAGGGGCCTCGGTGTGCGAAGAGGCCGCGGTGCCCAGGGTCAAGGCACAAAGGGGGGATGGGGTGCATGGCGAGCGGGTGGGATCTGTGAAGTGGGCCGTGTAAGAGCTCCGGAATCCGCTTAAACACTTCAACCTGGTGTCGGGGGCGGCGGGCAAGAGAAAGGGGCAGAATGTCTAATGGAGCAGAAACTGGAATAAGGTGGAAACGGGGTGAAGAGCCCATGCTGAGGGTACTCCGCCTGGGAGCAGAGAAAACAGCCGGCGGATGGGGAAGGGGAGACTCCAAGGAGATGGGAAGAGAGGCGCAAGGCCCAGAAGACGAGGCAACGGGGTGCCACCTGGGGCAGAGCAGAGAGGAGGCGCCTGTGTTGCTTCTACCTGCAGGCGGGCGGGACGGGCCGCTCAGGTGTGACTGGGAAGAGGCCAAGTCGGAAAGGGGCCAGCGAGAGCTGGGGTCATACTGGGGGCCGCGCAGAGGTGGCTGCGAGTTGGCAGCCGCGGAGCCAGCGCGGGGGCACCTGCGGGACAGGCGCGAGGGAGAGGCGGGGATGGGGGTCTCCGGAGTGCACGGTGGGCTGAAGGGTGGCTCTACGGCAGCGGGAGGCAGCGGGCGCCAGCAGCGCGGCGCGGGGGAGGTATCCGGGAGGGCGGCCGGGAGGCGGGAGCCCCTCACCTGCGCGGCGGAGGAGGCGGAGCTGCAGCAGCCCATGGCGGGGCCGAAGGAGCCCGGAGGCGGCGCCCGGCGCGCAGCTACGCCCCGGAGCCCTTCGGCATGCGAGCCGGCGGGCGCCCGGGGAGGGCGCGGCCTGGCCCCGCACGGCTTAGCGGCGGCGGCGGCGGCGGTGGCTTGGGTGGCAGCGGGTACTCAGGAGGCGGCGCGGCTCGGGGCGGGCGCCGGCCACATCCCCCGGCGGCGGCGGCTGCGCGGCTCCTGCTCCGCTCCTGCTGCTGCAGCTGCTCCCCAGCGGAAAGGGGCGGGCGGCGGCGGCGCCTCCCCCTGTCCCCCGCCTCCCGCCTCCCGCGCCCAGTCCCTCTCCCGCTCCCTCTCCCGGACCGCCGCCTCCTCAGCGCCGCGCGCGTCTCCCATCAGACTCCCCGCCCCCAGTGCAGCGCGGCGCCGACAGCCGGGCGGCGACTGCCAAAACGAGGCCGGGTCCTTCGGCGCGCGTCGGAGCCTGCGCAGTGCCGAGCCTATTTAGCGGTGGCACCGAGGCACAGCGCTGCCTCGGAGCGAGAGGTCGCGTGGGGTTGAGCCTCCCAGGGGCTGAGCAGGTTCGCAGCCGAAATGTGGCCGCATTGCTTCCGGACCCCAGAGGTACTGGCGAGGCGTGCGGGGTTGCTCGCTTTCGCCACTGGACGCGCAACCCGAAGACCCTAATGGCATCTTAGTGCTTCTACGGTTGCTTTTTATCCAGAGGAAAGTGTACACAATAAATCTTCCCTGGTGATGGAGTGGGTGATAGAAAACGGGGAGAGACAAGCATCTGTTGCTACTGACCCCATTTTGCTGATGAAACTGAGCCTTTGAAGGAGACAGCCTAATAAAAGGCACCCAAGGTCGAAATTTTTATAAAGAGCCGTATATAGGGACAAGGTAAGTTCGCCAGGTCTCTCAATACAGAGCCATGTTGGATCTGGACTAAACTTTCTTATACAGGATTGTCTACAAAAAACAATAAGCGAATATTAAGTCGTTCATATCAAAAATATTTACTGAGGACATACTAAGTTCCAGTAATTTGTAGGCACTGTGAATAAAGAGGTGAACAAAAAAGATAGCTTCTGTTCTCCTACAAGTTGCTACATTAATACACTGTGTGGAGCAACAAGTTAGAATAGGCTTCACTACCTTCAAGAAGTATACAGCCGGAGAGTCCTTGGGAAATAGTGTCCCATGAGAATAGCTCAAAGGCCACAGAAATAAGGATGCCTGGCTGGCTCAGTCATAGAGCATGCAACTCTTGGGCTTCCTGGTCTGAAGTTCAAGCCCCATGTTTGGTGGAGAGTTTACTTTAAAAGGGGGGGGGGGAGGTGAAAAGAAGTAAGTGTTTACTTAAAGGTGAAACGAAGCAAGTGAAAAGGTGGCAGGAATAAAACTTAAAAGATCAGGGTTCATATTAAGAGAAGAGGTATCAGACACTATTATAAAACTTTTACATGTTTCATTTCATCCTGTCAAAGAATGTCTCAAAGACAGAATCAAAAGGAAAAAAAAAAAGGTTTATTTGCAAAGGTGCAAAGGAGTGAGATTCTGGAAGGCCTGACTAAATGAGAGACAGCAAATTTTAGAGATTACTCCAAGTCTAAGGGAGAAAAAAGGGCACAGAAGTAAGTTGACCTTATGTGCATTGAAAGCAAAGTAAAGTCAAAATAGAAAGCTGGAGACAGCTAAAGAAAGGACCGTAGAATTCCTGGTTGGTGTATTCCAGTACCATTTCCTAGGTCTGTGACAGTGGATGAATCACCTTTCTAAACCTCTTTCTTGTCTTCTGTGAAATGTTAATGATAGGATGACCCTGAAGGGTGGTCGTCAAGATTGGATAAGAAAGCTGGCTGGTGGGTAAGCTGCGCTCTACAGAGTGCTGCCTGGGATTATCAGTACTTCCTCTGCATCCTACCTATGTTCTCTTTCAGTTTGATGGGAGGGTGCACCATTCCACTGGGCTAGTAAATTCTTGGTGTGTTACCAGTAACCATCAGGCCACTATGTAGAAGTGAAAAACATAAAACTTTAGTGGCTCTAGTCCCAATTCTGATTATAAACTTCACAATTAGATTGTAAACTCCCTGAGAACAAGGGAAAGGATTTTCTCCTTTGTATTTCCCTCAGCTCTCTCAAATGTTTGTTGAATTATTCAATGCAGCCAGGAATAAAAAACCTTCCCTTGAGATTTTCCCTCAAAGCCTCAAAGTACATCTTGTTTTTAACTGAGGGAGGAGGCTGAAAGTAAAATTACAGTCTTAAACAAGAAGCCATCTGTCTTCCTTCTTTATAATCAAGGAAAGGGGAGTTGTTTCTCTTAGCAGAGTCAATATGGGAACATTTCTCTCAGATTATAAAAATCTTTTTGGCTAGTGTAGTCATTCCATGTAGTAGCTAGTGCTTATTTTGTAATTAGAGCTGAAAAGCAGATAAATACGTAACAGACTGTGGCAGGGCTTCAGAAAAAAAAAATGTATTTCACTTTCTTGGAGGTCTCTTTCGTAGGTATGGATGATGGGTGAATATAATTGAAAGGGAGTACATTCCATTGTGCTTGATTGATATGAATTCGTTTTCCCTCTAAGGGTTAATGGAACTAGGAGTTCTAAGGTTCTGCAAGGTGCTTTGTAAGTATACTAATTATGTATGTATGCACCATATATGCATATGAATGTGATGTTTTAAAATTATACCTCGTCATTAGCATAAGAGAAACTAGCGGCTCCTGAATTGATATTCTGTACCTTCTAAGAAGGAGTCTCTTTCCCATCCCCCTCATATCCAAAGAAGCCTCATAAAAAGAGTGATTTAGAGGGGGACAAATTGCTGTTCCTTTTCACTCCTTCTCATAAACAAGCACGCTCAGCCTTCAATGAAATTAAGCTACAGAAAATTCAGAAATCATGAAAGGGATTTTTTTTTCTTAGCCAGCGATCAAGGTACTGATCTCACCACCATGAGGTTTCATCAAGGCAAGCCACTTGGGAGAAGGGCTTAGTTTGTTTTTCTTTCGAGAGAAAGAGCATTGTTGTTTTTTTTTTTTTTTTTCAACTTATGTAAGAACAGCATCTGCACTAACCAGGATAAAATTATAAGGTCTATCAATCTTGATGCTGCAGGGTAAAAGCAGATCACCAGCTGAGCCAGCCCGAAATGCTTCCCAGTGGTCTAGTATTGCATAATTGGCCGTGTGAATTCCAGGGTTTCCAGTTTCGGATGGAGGACATGGTGCTGGTCACTCACGGTAGGAAAACACTGAACTAATGGTCTTTCCTATGATTTTAATAATGCCTGACTCATTGTTCACATGATTGGAGGTTTTTGGGTAACAAATACAAATGCATCTATGTATTCATATGCTTATAATTGCTCAGAATCATCTTCTAATTTTTTTTTTTTTTTTAATGGCATTTGTTGCTTTGGGCTGTGTTATTTACATTTTAGCACATACTGTGTTCACAGCCGTATCCCACAAGAGCACAGTTGGTTCAGCAGAGCCCCAGCCTTCCAGATCTGCCTCACAACTTCCTCCTGGAAGCATTGGCATATCACCTCTGGGAAATGCTCCAGAAGCAAAAACTAATTGTAACCAAGGACTGTAACTGTTCATTCATTACCAGAAAGGCAAGAGCAAGTCTCTATTTGGGAAGACGGCGATGTACCTCAGCTTCCCAGTTATAAGCCTGGAAGTTAGAAACCCCTGAAAAGAGCTTCCCTAAACCCAGGCTAGCAAGACTCTGAGAATTATAAATCCTTAGTTCTGCAACTTTGTTTCTGCCTATATTTGTAAGTGGATGTCTCTCCACTGTTAATAACTCTGTCTTTTATTTGTGGTTTCATTTGGATTTTGGCTGCAATGTCAGACAGTTTATAAGTTCTCTAAAAATGTTTGTTGTGAACTTGTGTTTGGTGGGGTAGTATTTCCTCTAATACTTTTCTGAATGACATTTTAAAAATCTGTAGTTATTCACTTATTTGATAATTTTTTAAATTGAGTCCTTGTGAGCTAAGCATGTTTGATTAAATATCACTATGCAAACATCAGACCTTGGGGATTTCAGCTGTTTCCATCCTACAACTACTGTTGGTTTTTATTTTGAGGTGATGGGCTGAGGAAAGAGGGGAAGGGAGACAGGATTTCTAGTATTAGTATGAGAAGGAAAGAAGACAACTTGTAGGGAAATCTATTTACTAACAATATAGTTCTTGAGCAGTTATAATGAGCCAGATACCTAGATAGATGCCAGGGATTCAAAGACAAATGAGGTACATTTCTTGCCCTTAAGTCGTTTACATTTTAGTGAGGTGGAAAGACATTTAAGCCAAGAATTAGAGTATAGATTAAATGTAATGAGAGGAATGAGTCTACGTGCTATATAAGCTCAGAGGAGGTCCACAGATTGATTTATTTTGCTCGTAAAAAATTCCGCATTACATTTTCCCCCCTGTTACTCTTATCCTTATCCCCTCTAGACAAGTTCCCACTGCGTACCAAAAGCCTAGAAAAGAGCTTAGTATCTAGGAATATGTCACAAATATTTCTTCAATGAATAACTGCATTTTGTCAATGAGTTCCCAGAAATTTACATTTGCAAATGCCTAGAATGTCTCAAAGGAAGTGTTATCTGAGATCCTGTATGATTATTATTATTATTTTTAATGTTTGGCCTTTTTTTCTTATAAAACATCTGGAATAAAATATATTTGTTTATATAGTATACAAAGTATAGGAGGTTTTTCTGTGAAAGACACTGTAGGCTAACACTTGGCAAAAGATGGGATTAATTACATAAATCTCTTTAAACTCCTAGGAGCAAAAGTTACCATAAATAAACACAACTGTCAAACAGATAAATAATCCTTTAAAGTGATATATAAAAGGTTCAGTGCTGCAGCATGAATGTCATGTCCTCCAGAAAATTCATATGTTGAAATCTTAATGCCTGAAGGTGGTTGTTTTAGAAGGTGGGCCTTTGGGAGGCATGTGGGTCTTGAGGATCAAATCCTCATGAATGGCACTAGTGACTTATAAAAAAGTTTCCAGAGAGATCCCCAGCTCCTTCCACCATGTGAGGACACAGAACGAGGT